CATTTACCCAAGAAAGAACCCCAGTTTGGAATTTACAACAAGATTACAAGGTACCAGATAAATATAACAGACCTGGTTGTTCAAACGCAAAATGCCAAAAATTAAAATCAAAGTTGAAAAACCATTCTGTAACACACGAAAAACAGTTTTTCTCACATTTCCAAACTGAGCATAAGAATGACCATGCAACATCTCATGAGAATTTCTTAGTTAATCAGACTTGATTTCATGCATAATGCAGTCACAGAGCTGATTAACCAATGAATTTATTCCCACAATATAATTCCTAGATTTGACGGTTAACAGAAAGTTAAGAAATGAATCTTTGATCGGCGTACGTAACTGGTGTGAATCTTACCATGCCAAGACTGGCCTTCGATTGTACCTAGTGTCAGAGGCTGAACGATTAATTTTCAACTCACTCAAAAATTGATTACCTCAATAAATTCTAAGAATGAGAATGACCATGCCAGATATCCTGAGAATTTCTTAGTTAATCAGACTTCATTTTATCCATAATGCAGACAGAGCTGATCAACCAGAAAATTATTCTTATAATATAATACCTAGATTTGACTGTTAATAGAAAGCTGCCAGTGGGCTTTGAGAAATAAATCTTTTTTTGCTTGAGCTTGGGGGTGAAGAGAATTTAAGGGGTGCATTTATCATGAAACGGACCCTTATCTCGACAGGTACATATAGTCAGCCGGTTTGAGACATTTTTAAGGCAGGCTGGAGTGACTGTGTCTATTTTTTATTAGCTAGGATATTTAATCATTTATTTCTTGTTCTCTCTCTGGGTGCTAGGACGCTCCATATTTTCTCTTACAACGGTCTGACAGCCAGCGTATAACCTTCCTGTGGCATTTTCCCTCTATGTTCATGTCCAAGTTTGCATGTGAATGATTGCAAGATAAGACACCCACAACTTTCTTTGTTCGAGTAAAAGTAAGTACTCGTTTGCTGTTTATTGCTTGCTTGATGCATAATTTGATGATGTATTGACTGACTGACTGTGAACTGGATCTATTAAGAAAACAATCTGTTTTTAATGACTTTTCGAGATCATGGAGATTAGTTACCAGTGACGTGATAAAATCCCTTGGTATCTTCAATTAATTTAATGCAATATATTGAGTTTCACGCTGTTACCGACCTTATCAGTACACGGTAAATACAGCTGTCAATGTTGATCCTTATGAGTGAGTCCTTTGAGAATCAACGTGACTCTTTAAAAGCATGGCTCTCAGATCTCTTTAAGAGCATGCACTGATAATTTGTTGTCTGGTAGTGAATGCTATACCTTTCAGAAAGATTCAATAAAGTAACACCATACAATAGACTTTGGGAAAGTTTTTAAACTACGGTTTATCACTTCTACCCAAGGTGCTCCAAGGTTCTTCTGTTCAATCCGTCCCATCTTTAAATGGCCTTGTTGAAGGGAGTTGGATGTGTCCTTCAGTAAACACCCCATTGTTTTCAAAAAGTAACAATGGCTGTTTGATGTATGCTCTGATCTGTTCCTAGTTTGTATCCACAAGACAAATGGATGGTGCAGTTTGAATACTGAAGTTTCATGGTTTCATTTCTTCTATTTCCTAGCTTCAGGTTTTAAGACACAGAGCACATTGTGGCCGCTTCAGTGATGGATGCCATAGATAACACATGGCTGATTTGTTTCGGCAAAAAGCACTTTTGTACTCACCTTCCGAGCCTCAAATGGACAAGGAGCTTGGTTTTACCATCGTGGTCGAGAAAAGGTGAGTTGATTTTGAATGATAGAATAGGTAAACAACATATTTTACCAACTAAAACAATGGTTCAATTCGTCACCAGTTGCTTGTGTTGCTTCCTTGCTGACAAAGAAAAACCATATTTTTCCTCCACAAAAAGCACTCACTATCCGAAAACTCAAACCTGGCCCCTCCCTGTGAGCTATTTCCTTTAACTTCGTTTATTTGGCAATTTTTTGCAATGTGAAATTGTGGATAAACTAAAATTTAGTTGGAACACTTCCTGATACGCAATTTGGTTTCCTCAGAGCCTCCTTCAGCAGCTAACACAAACTGTAAAAGAGCTGTCGCGATTCAGTGATGATGGAAGACTGTTACAAATGGTATTTCTCGACTCCTGGAGTGCTTACTAACAAGGCCATCAAACATTAAACAGCACAAAGAGGGATTAACAAGATAGAAATAATATACAATAAACTAGAGTAAGGCCATAATACAAGCATTCGAAATCTATTTTTTTACTGCTGAGATTTCAAATTTAAAATGGGAAATCTGCCTGACGATGAACTATTGAAATGTATTTCCATAATTAAGGAGGAGTTTAGTAGAGTAGTTTAACACTTAGTTGAGCTGTGCATAACGTTTATCAAATTCCAGTTAGTAATTAGTGTTTTTGTTATCTTTTTTTTCTGCTACACCTATTTTCAGGATGCAAACAGCGTAAAGTAGATACAACATTTGGAGAAAAGAATTGCGGCGGCACTTGCTAGGTAAATGTAGTGTTAAAATACGCTACAGACTAATAATCTAGGACGCTTTGTTGTCTCAGAAAGCCAGACTTGAGCCTTAAATGTTGGCTGTTTTAATTGTATTATTTGAAACTCTAAATTTCGATTTCTCTGTTTGTTTTTTAGACCTCGTGCACTTCACGCAATCAGATTACAAAGTCTGGTACTTTGCCTGAGGCAGGTAAGATTAAAATCACATATATTTGTTTCATTTCAGTTCTTAGCACTTTAAACAATTGCACACGGATTACAAAAGCACCAGTTATAACAACATTTCAGTGGTTAAATACTTGAATACTCATCGAAGAAAATGCAAAGTTCTGTCTGCTATCATTGCTAATTTGGATGAAATCATTTTAACACAGGCAAAATTCTACAGCTTCTTTATTAATCAAACACCACTAGTCGCTTAAGAGCTCTGGTACCGAAATTGTTCTGTGCTAAGAAATATGGGAAAATAGACTACTGAAATAAGCCATTAAAATTGAGTACCATAATCAGATGATTGAGCGGTCATTTTGGTCGAACCCCGGTAAATAATAATTTTTTTTTACCTTTGTTCCTGCTAGGCCCATTTTTCAGATGGAAACAGCGTAGCAAAAACAACTGGAGAAATGAATTCTTTGCACTCGGTGGGTAAATGTAGAGATAAGATTAGTAAGCTTACAGACTAAACTTGGACGCTTCCTTGTGTTGCAAAGTAGCTAACAATGTTGACTCATTTAATTGTACTATCTGAAAATCTTAATTGCGATTCTGTTGTTTTAGACCTCTGGAGCATTCCGTGCAATCAGATTACAAATTCCTGCATCGACTACAAGGGATGGAAGGGAGCCGGTAAGATTCAAATCACATGACTCATTTCAGTTTAAACCAGGTGTTACTCGTTCATCTCAAAAATCCGTCACAGTTAATTAAGTACGCATGATAACTTTTACTAAATTTCATTGATGAGCAGGTGCGAATCGATTACGAAAGCGCTAGTTAAGCACTTAACTGGTTAAATACTTAACTGGTCATTTAGTAAATGCACAGGAATGCAGTCGTTGCCTGGCTAACATTTTGGCTTGGAAATAGTCCAAGAAAGTCAGATTTCAAATATTTAGAAGGCGAAAACTTGCAGTCGTTTTTCAAGAGAATCCCTTCTCTTTAAAGTGGTATTATGACGAAAATCACATCTTTCCTATTGCAGCTATTTTAAAACATAAGTAGCCTGTGTGAGAAGAAAAATGCTGTTTACTATATTCAAATATCTCTTTTCATTCCAGAGATATTCAAGTTTTTAAAATATGCAAATTAGGCCAGTGATGATGTCATACACTCAACCAAATTTTCATCACATGATGAAAAAAGATATCTCAGCCAATTTGTATTAAAAATGTTTGATTCTTTGCAGTAAGATTCTACTAAATGTGCTCCACAATATGAGCTTAACAGTTTGGTTACCATGGCAACATACTGGGTTCCAGACCTCCCCAATATTAAAGGCATTTCTGGCCACCTTTGGTGTTCCATTTTGATATTTGCAAATGGTACCTCATAGCTTGATCCAGCAAGCATATAAATATGTTAGCTCAAGTTTGTGGCCTCGTGTAATGTTTTGCGAGCTTAAAAACACTAACATATTGAAATCAAGTGGGTGAGGACTGGAAGAGAGTGAGTTGCCATGGGAACAGAATTTTTTATAGCGGTAGGTGTGTTTACTGTAGAACTATTAGCCTACCAAGTTTCAATGGTCTGCACTGCAAATTGACCAAGATGGCTCTATTTATATACCTGATATAAAATTGGGTTGAGTGTATGACGTCATCAGTCATCTCATTTGCTTATTTTACACATTTTTCAAACTTAAATATCTCCGGAACTAATGCACATATTTGCAAATGGTAAACGGCATTTTTATTCTTTCATGGAATTCTATGTGATACAACTAAAAATCAAGGAAGAAAAATTTGATCATAGTACCACTTTAAATGAATTAATAGGGCATGTAGCCTCGACGGTTTTCCTTGAAATTTGGCCAGAACATTCACTGATAGATACGGAACAAGAAAGTGTTGGCGATTTCTTTTATTTCAAATACTTTTCTCGTGGCAGTCTCTAACGCAACGTGTTATGCGAATTTTTTGATAGTGGAACTTGACAGATCTATAAAAAGACAACCAATAGAAATGAAAGAAAATGACGACATGCTTTGAGATTGATGCTTTGTGATTAACACTGCACAGTTATTTTGCATCANTATTAAAGGCATTTCTGGCCACCTTTGGCGTTCTATTTTGATATTTGCAAATGGTGCCTCATATGCTTGGCCCAGCAAGCATATAAAAATGTTAGCCCAGGTTTGTGGCCTTGTTTAATGTTTTGCAAGCTGAAAATCTCTAACATATTGAAATCAAGTGGGTGGGGACTGGAAAAGAGTGAGTTGCCATGGGAACATAATTTTTTATAGCCGTAAGTGTGTTTCCTGTAGAACTATTAGTCCACCAAGTTTCAATGGTCTGCACTGCAAATTGACCAAGATAGCTCTATTTGTATACTTGATATAAAATTGGGTTGAGTCATGACGTCATCAGTCATCTCATTTGGATATTTTACACAGTTTTCAAATTTGAATATCTCTGGAACTAAAGCAGATATTTGCAAACGGTAAATGGCGTTTTTGTTCTTTTATGGAAATTCTATGTGATACACCTAACAAATCAAGGGGGAAAAATTTGATCATAGTACCACTTTAACTTCCCCCTAAGACTTCGCAGTCAGTAGTATTGGAACCTTTTTAGGAATTTTGAAACGTAAATTCTCAAACCCAGTAATAATTCATCAAGTTAAAACAAAGAAAATCACAACCGTGAAGGAGGTTTGGATACCCGGTCTTAATTAGCATAGATTTTGACGATTTCATTTCTCCGTTTACTCCTTAGTTTTCGTTTCGATTGAGAAGATATGTCAGACACTCGAGACAGTGTTCCATCGGCTATCCAAACACCTCTAATTTCGTCAAAAGTTTGGGTATCCCGATGAAACATTGTCTCTGGTGTTTGATATATTACCTAAAAGACTCTGATCACACTGTACATGAGACGGAAAGAATCAATCACAGGCAATGAAAAAATATCGGCTCTTAGGGTCTCGTACGTAAACTGATATACCAGGGTCGGTCATACGGTATACAGGGTGATTTGGGATCGAGTATACGGTATTTTGACGACAAAATTGAACATTTTATGGGCATAAAGTATACCTTGTTTTTCTAAATTATGTTATTTCGCATGAATTTGAAGGGAATTTTGCGTATAATGGGTTTTTCTTTTCAGGTATATTGGTATACCTCTATCCACCATGACCGACCCTGATCTACCTTAGATCTTAACACGTAAAGCTCTCTCCAAAGTCTCTTAAAATCGACTCTGAAATGTATATCTCGCATGTGGTAACACTGAGGAATTAAATCCATCAGTAGTAAAATGGTATCTTGTTATGTGTATTAATAAATCTGGCTTTTCAATCCAAGAGTATCGTGCAGTCGCGTTTACAGTTTACGAAATATGACTGTAACCCGGAACATAAACATTAATACACAAAAATAAGGTCATTTTACTTACCGAATCACTGCCAGTTGTTTCAAAGTTACTCCACATTTTTAAAAATCTTAGCCGAACACTGGATACCAACAAGTCGACCTGCAAATTAATCAAATTTCATTTTACGCCAAAAGTTTAAATTTGAATTATCTAATATCTTTAATCATAACAATTATAAATTCCCTCAAATGTGATTGGTGCATAAACTGCTGTATTTTGCTCTAATCAATTTGCAAAATTGTAATCGGACAGTGTAATCGGACAATTGGCTGTAATCGGACACCTTTAATCAGACAGTTACATGAACCAATCATTTTAAGTCCTCTCCACTAAATCCACCAATCACAACATTGATTACAATCACTATTAATAGTAACCAATTCAAGTGACTGACTTTGTAAAATTGTGGAGGTTTAGTCTCCGGTGACTGTTTTGAAAGAAACGTAACAGCCATTTTGCAAGCTTTTCTCCATATGTTTAATTATGATATTTAAAAATGACTATTAAAAGCTCTTTTTCAAATGAAACTTTTACTTTTGTGGGAAATTGTAATGGTTATAATGAATTGGTAACAGGACATCGCGTCGTCCCGGACTCCCGCAATCACTCGTATGCTTACAGACCCAACTGGAGTCCACTCAGTCCTATTACCATTATAAATCGAGGCGGTGGCAAGGGTTTATATTAAAAAGGAAAGAAAGAAAAAAAGTATTGATAATTTACAATAAGATTACAAAGGGTACAAATAAACAATTAGAAAAAGAAAAACACACAGGTAACCGAAAACAGTGGGATGTGCACATACATAACGGTAAAAGTTTCTATGATCTTCATGGCGGTCAAAGGCGTGATAAAATCTTGGCTCGAAGTCATTTCCAGTGTCACGTGACGTTTCCAAGGCCCAGGTGGTGGGAAGAGGCGTTGATCCTGCCCTCACAGAAATACTCTGAACCTTGAATACCTGCAGGGAAGTTAAAAGACAAATATCGCTGTACTTTCAAATGAAAATATAAATGTATGAGTATCTTGTTAGAATAGCGGAAGCTTTTTCTTTCAGTTTTTCTGCGGTTAAGGTGATGGGCTATAAATCCAATGGGGTCACGCCTCGAGGCCTAAATCTTGACGACCATTGAAAAAAGTTTCTTTACTGTTTTATCGTGAGAGATTAAAATTATAAAGTCAGAACATAGTGGTCAGAAGCACTTACAACAATCAATATTGTTTTCACTCGCGTAGAAATTTGAGATATTCCACCCTTTTAGAGTACGTAAGTACCTGGGAATATAATGTTCATAATTTTTTTGTACTGTTAGTATGTATTTTGACAGATAACAGTGAAAAATACAAACACGTTAAATATTTCTTGCTTAGAAAGTGATCTCTCCGTAATTTCGTGCCTCCGTCGTATCACTATTTTTTTAAGCAATCAGGAGCAAAATCAGTGCACACGCCAGGCAGTCCCGATATTTCGCAGTTGGGCGCGTTTTCCTGCGCTTGACTCTGGTTACACACGCTTTTGTTTTCAATTGTGATTGGTAGGAAATGAAAAGTATAAGATCTCGAAATTAAACATCATTATGAGTTGTAAAAACAAATCAATAGCAAAGCGAGGTTTTGATCCTCGGACCTCTGGGTTATGGGTCCAGCACGCTTCCACTGCGCCACTCTGCTGCTGACGGACAATGTCTTGAAATATAGAACTGCGCACTTGACTGTGCAGCTTTCCAGTGGTATCCACTCATTACATAAAATGTTCCTTCTTGTCTGAATAAAAAGCGAAAACTTCTTTTCTTGCTAGAACGTAAAAGAAAAAGAAGTTCTCTCTCGATTCATGACCTTCTGAGA